GGGAAGTCTAGACATATTGGTTTACGACATAGCTATGTGAATGGTCTTATAAAAGACGGGGCCATAGTGGTGGATTTTGTGCGTACGAAACAAAACTTGGCTGATGCTCTTACCAAGGGTTTGTCGAAGGACATATTGCACAAAATGACTATAGGGATGGGTCTTGGGCCTATTGATTAAATCACAATTAGAGGAATCTCAACTCAACGTCTAATACAACGTTAGATCTTGAGTTCAATGAGTTAAATCCTCTAATATGTGGTTGTAGATGCTTAGAAGTAAATCATCCCGAGGTAAGCATCTTGGTTTGCAACGTAAAGAGGTTGTTTTATACTTAATGAATTCTTTGACAAAGTGCTTTGTTGCAGAGCATGATTTGAAAGAATTCACCTATGCGAGCATGAAGTGTGGCCGCTTCAAGATGTTGGTGGCTCGACATCTATGTGCTTGTGAAGGGGATATGGACACATGGCCAATATAGTGTCAAGATATACATGGAAATGTATTGATTCTGTGTGTGTGTATACATGGTAGCTCAACTAGGATTACGTAGGTTCAATCGTTAGCGACACCTACGGAATTCGAGTCTATTGTTGTATATTACACTAAGTAGAAGTTCAATCGTAAAGACACTTTCATTTATGAGCAGAATTGTGAAGATGAATGATTAATTGCTTGATTGTCCATTGTTTATTTTACTCTAAAAATGGTGGAGGATTGTTGGTATTTTTAGAGTAAATGAATGGGGTTTATTAATAATCTCTCAAGAGATTCATAGTTATATGTATTACGGATATGGTGGAGGAGTTAAATGTTCGTAAATGATATAATATAGATCGGTGAAACACATATGTGTTTGGTAGTAAAGTTGTTCGGTTTGTGAGTGAGGTATACCTCAAATCGGGTGAAGTAGAACTCCGTCTTCATGACGAAAACGAAATTTTCTTTATAGAAATGTAACTCGGTCCGTGTTAGATTTAACTCGGACCGTGTTGATTGTCTGAGGAAAAAATTCGTGTTGCACAGAAATTTGACACGGCCCGTGTCATGTGGAACTCGATCTGAGTCAAAAGTCTGTGAGAAGTACTTCATGTTGTGTCAAGTGTAACTCGAAACATGACAGTTATATACGAACTGATGCGATTCTTCGCGTAATAACTGCAGATTTTGCAACTTTTGGTGATGTTCTTTGGTGTTTATATACTAAAGACGTCAGAATAAGTTGGTAACGAGATTAATTCGATTTTTGAGAGATTTTGAGAGCACTTTCGGAAGTTTCTTGCAAAAACTCTCCCGAAAGCTTTTGTTCATCTTCTTCTTCACGTTTCCTTGTCTGTGCGAGCAATTCTAGAACGTATTTCTCTTCATTGTATCTCAGAATCGTATTCCGGTAGTCCTTGCTCGTAACGGACGGAATAACGGTTTTAGGAAAGTGTCTACACGCCTTGAAGAGATATACGGTCCCTCGATTCGATTTCATTCTCGTTTTTCCGTTGTTTTTCCTCTAGATTTCTAACAGAAACCTAAGACTATCAGTGTTATATATATCGAAGTTAGAATTTATGTATTGATTTGACAGTAATTAACGAATTGATTGTGTTAGCATGAAACTCTCACTTTATCAAAACTATAAATTTATCATATAAACAAAAAAAAATATCCCTGATTTATAGATATGCTAACTATGCACATACTAAACTATAAACCCTAATACATAATAATACCGATAGAATTATCTCTTAGATTGTTCATTGCGTCTAGTTCATACGTTAATATGTTATCATAAAAATGTAAACGAATAGCCAAACAATTGATATTTGGCATTGCATATATTCGGATTCAAATGGGAAAAAAAAATCCAAAGAAGAAATAACAAATTGTTCCCTGAAAAAAAAAAGGGCATCGACAAAATTTGGATACTCATTCACACGTAGATATATCGCTAAAGAAAGACCGAAACATTCTTTACAGCAAAATAAATGAAAGAAAAAAAAATCTATGTAAAAAAAAAATCATAAACCCTGATCCCTGCACATAACGGAGAACCGGCTTGGCCGGGGCCGGAATTCGGAGCGACGCCGGAGATTTTGAGACGACGGAGGTCGAGACAGAGCCGCCATTGTTCTCTTCGCGACCTCTCCTTCTACTCCTCCGATCCTCGCCAGCGAATTCACCATCGCCGATCTACGAAGCTTCAATCCATCAGTAACCGCGAACTCGCGAATCGGCACCGGACTCGGACTCGGACTCGGAGCTTTCGTGGTTACGGCTTTGCCACCGCCGATTGCAGATCTCCGGTGGCGAGCGCAGCGGAAGGACCCAGGGTGCGTGGTAGGAGAGCACAAGCACGTCGGACGTGGCCGTGGCAGCGGCGGCTTTGGATGACCGGAGACGGAGGCGGAGAAAGAGTGGCGGACGCCGGAGGAGATGGAACGATCGCGAGGGAAGCGTTGGGGGTGGTCGAGGTGAAGGAATCTTTCGGTAGTCGCCATCGTCAGAGTTGAGATTCTTCTCGTTCCGTTTGATTCGAGCGCTCTATTTATTGAGATCTCAGGCGGTTGGCGACTCGTCGTGAAGGGTAAATTTGTAATTTTATTAACTCATGATCTTTCCTTTTTTCTGTCAAATTCTTTTTATTTGTTCAGGCTGTGTCTGATTTTCCTTTCTTTAATATTTTTTTTGCTTGATTTTCAGTCTATACTGATATCTATATTAAGCATTATTTTATGAAAGATTATTTACAATATAAATACTATAAATCAAAGAAACAATTTTTTTTTGCCATGAAAATCCGATTTATTTATTTATTTCCACCAGTCATGAAAATCCAATGTATAGACTATATCACCAAATCAAGGAAAACTTATAACTAATTAGAAAAGGAAACAGATGAAGACACAACAAAAAAGAAACATATATAAAAAAAGGAAATGATAAAAACAAATGTAAAACTGGGAAAAATGATAGCTTGCAGAAGAAGCTACCTATACGCATGAGAAAATCGCAACGGCCTTCAAATTCGGTAAAAAGCTAAATCGCGAAATTTGAAAGAATCACAATTTCATCACGATCATAAGAAATCTGTTGCCAATATTTTCTATCGAAATATTCAGAATTTTGTGATAATAACATTTTTTTTTGTTTTAACCGATGTTTTTTAAAATAAAAATAAAGAAAGGTTAAATAAAAACTTCATCGCAATGCCTCTATCATTGTTTTATTTAATCTATTTTACAAGTTCCTACATTGCCTACCAGATACACAGTAATGCGATTCTACAAATGAAAGATGCACCATGAAAAGTTTAAATTGTTTGGGTTATTTCTTAATAAAATAACGTAAATTTATCCAAGATTAGTTAACTAAACTGATAAAAGATAAAACAAACGTCATTTATAACCTGAATTCAAATCTCCGTTTGAAGAGATCCATTCACTTAGATTTTTTTGGGTCGTAAGTTGGGAGAACTTCCGAATTATAAAAAAAAAAATCGAAGTGGAATTATTTAATTTAACATCATGGACTAAATTGAAAAGAATAATATGCGCATGTCAAAAAAATAATTATAAAGCTGTGAGATCTTTGAACAAGATGGATTCAATCTCTATAAAGCATGTTAATCATCTTCCCATAAAAGGAAATCAAAAGGGTATCATCAATCAATCTGTGTGCAAAGCATCGTCCAAATCAAGATCCAACCCCACACGATTCTTGATGGAAGCAGAGGCATGGCACGACCCGTGTCTGCTGCATCTCCTCGTCTCCAGCTCTCTGAATCTCCCGACGTCGAAGCCGTACTTGTCGAGCAGCTTCCTCTGTCTGAACAGGAACAGCCTCTTCATCAAGTCCTGATAGCTCGGATCCCTCGAAGTGATGAGGAAGTAGCCGTAGCCGACGATCAAACCAGTGGCTGTGGTGAAGAACGTGATGGGTTCCATCACGTCCCACGAGAATTCCCAGAAAGTTAACCTGAAGAGGACTCCGACCTGAACCACGGAATAAGCGAGGCCGCACCATAGGATCCTCCTCACCTGTTTATGAGCCTCGACGTCGATTTCTTCCTTCAAGATCTTGAGCTTCTTAAACTCCTCTCTCGTTGGATCATCTTCGGGTGTGAGCGCGAGGGGTACTGCTTTCCTTATCCGATCCACGACCTGGGCGAAACAAAAAGATGGGACCGGAGACAGAAACTAGGGTTAGACCCAATCGGGGACGAGGTGACATCGCCACTTGCCTCATCAAGGATTGTATAATCGTTACCAAATCAGAACGGATATAATAATCTGTATTGTTATAATTTCTTTAAGATTGAAAAAGTCGAATTCGAAGCGAATTGGATCAAGAACGATCGAAAAAATTGAAATTTTGTTTAAAAAATAAGTATTTTTATCAATAAAAATCGAAATCAAATTGATAGAACTAAGAAAAATTCAATATAAAAACCGGATACAATTTTTTTGAAACCGAAATAACCGAATCTGATAAAAAAGTTTGATCCTCACAAGATCGAGATCGGATTAATTAATAGATCAGATGATCTGGTCGAAAAAATTTGAACATGTAGAGATCGAGATCAGACATTCCAAATCTAAAAGAAACACGTAGGAAACCAATTGAGGATATATCATACATATATATAACCTTGTCGGGATGAAGGTAGACTGAGTTCCTGAAAATGAGGACGAGACCGGCGTCGTCGAGGACACGAGCAAAGGCACGAGCTTCGTCGAGAGAATTGGCAATCCCCATCTTCTCAGAAGCTTCCAGAAGGTCTTTGTAAGCCATCACTTCCTTCTCCGCCACACTCTGAAGCTTCTTCTTCATCTCCTCCACATTTTCCATTCTCATATGCTTCTTGGCCGTCTCCGGCGTCGGAGATGGCTCCGCCGTAATGCCCCTGCACCACCGCCTCGACGCTGTGCTCGCGGTCAACCCCACCGTTCGCCTCACAAGACCCGCCGTCCACATCTCTCTCTCTTCTCGTTCTACGACGAACCCAGAAATTTCTGGTCGGCCTATGGGGATTTTCGATAGAAAAAAAAACCGAAGTATGAATCCAAAAAAATAGGATCGAGACGAAGAGGAAACCAAAAACTTCGACTCGTTTTCTTGACGCAGTCTCTTGCACTGTATCCGACAATGTGTTTGGAGTTCGTAATTTGGATTTTGCATGTTAATACGAAAACTTTATTTTGTGAAAAAACAAGATGCTCGTCTTTTTTTTAGAAAGATTCTTGTTCCACTCTTAGTTGTCTATGTAAGAAGTAAATTATATAGCTTGGATTATGTTCTTTTCTCACTACTTTTTTGATAATCAAATATAGAATATAATCAAATTTTAAAGTAGAAAACTTTTGTGAAGGAAAAGTGTTAGTATTTCCAGTTTAGAAAACACTAAAGAATTTTAAATGTTTCACATTTTATTTTGTGACATAATATTGGAATCTTTGTGTGGTTTGGGGCATGCTATAATTATTTTCACATCACCTCTCAATTATTTGCGCTGCCTTTTTTACTTTATCACAAATTATAATTTTCATTACTTTCATCACATTTAATGGTTAAACACTCACAAACTATAATTTTCAATACTTGTCCTCTTGAAAAATACGAGGCCAAACGGGAGTAATTTATTCGGGTTTTGGTTCGGTTATGTTTGGATCCGGTTATTTCGATTTTGGAAAAAGGAACATGCATCAATTTTCCTTAAAGTGTGACACAGTGGAAGAACGCTTGGTTTTATTTGATGTTTCTTCCGGAAGACAGGGAAATAAACCTGTTATGAAAGGACCGCTGGAAGCTGTCGCGATGTTCTGACGCTCTGCCACCACATAATCTTTGGTCTTGTAAAGATACAGGCAAGCCTGACAAGCAAACTGTTTCAGAAGGAAAGAGAGGATGTTAATACGAAGTATATAAACTGACCAACTATATTGTCAAAAACCTCTTAAAACACTTTTATTACCTTTTTCCCTTTTTGTCAACAAACTTCCAAATTAAGTATTCACATTTTTTTTATTAACAGTCCATGCAACAGTATTTGAAAGATACTTACCTCTCCAGCGTAATGTGATATCATGAAACTGGTTCAATATAGCTTTGGCTTGCTATTCCGCTTGCAGTTTTTGAATGTTTGATACAGCTTCTGAGCAAATGTTTCATGTGTTGACATCGGAAACATCCATACAGCGAGAAGCAATTAGCATCAAATAGAAATGCAATGGACATCTAATGCATAAAGGCAGAACAAAAGCATAAAAACTCTGCAGTAAGTTCCAGCTGCATATACCATGTTTCATCTAAAAGATTAATGACTCATCCACTTGCTTTAGACATAAACATATGCCGAAAAATGAGCATAACAACAGTAGCATAACTGCATTATGAAAAAAAATGAGATAAGAAGACAGTGACAAACAGATCCTTGTTATCAGCAAATTCTATGTAACTCCTGTTGATTTCTTCTTTGGTATATTCTTCTCGTTCCATGTTAAATACGGTAATTATATGTCAATATCAAGTACTACGACAATATACATTAAAAAGCAACATAGTAAGAGGCCAACTGACCTGGTTGAAATGCTGTTGCGCCTTTTCATTGGTGAAATTGATACAACACAGCTCAAAACTAATAAGCAGCACTTACTTAAGGAGCTCAGCCTTATTATGTTTGTATCTTGATTTCTCATCCTTCAAAACCGAAGAGTCCACCTCTGGTCCTTTTGCAAATTCAACATTACCTAAAAGCAGGATTGCAGCAACAACTTTAAAACTTGCTCCTTGGAAGGGATTGCCAGAATAATCAACAAGACATTTACAGCAGAAAGCATGCTATTCTTAAAAAAGACGAAATGGAAGGCTTACCTCTTCTTTTTCACTGATACCGACTATATCCATTGCTCTTCCTCAGCATCATCGACTCCATCGAGCTTATAAGTAGTGGAACGATCAACAATCAAGTAATATAAGCTTACAGGACCTCATTATGAAATACTATCTAAGGCAGGTAAGGAGAAACTAAAGATAGAAATTAAAGTAGATAGAATCATATAGAGACACTAAGCAAATCTCAATGTACTGCTACCAAATGGAACCAAAAAGAATCAATTCAATCTATGAAAACTCTGAAATTCTGTAACCCTCAAATGTTTCCCTGAACTATTGGAAAAAAAATTATTTAATTTTCATAACACCTAAAGGAGCAACCTTTCCTTTGAGAAAAACCAACCATATCCCATATGCATAACTATTGTAGTATCCCTTCTCATTGGCAACCATGTTTTCATCATCATCATCATCATCATGTAAACCGATTCAAGAACCTGAGTTTTCTTCTTCCTCTCCTCCTTCTCCATCTTTTTCCATTTTCCCTAAAAGATCAAATCAGATGAGATGACTAACAAAAGGAATCGCACTTTTCTCATTCTCCAGTAATACGTTTAACAAGAAGTTCCATCAATGATTAGACGTCGAAATATAGATCCCATGAAAGGATCTCCACCAACAAATGACAAATCAGAATGAAACCTTTTCCTTCACCCGCCAGAATCCAAAGAATCACTCCGTAAACCTTAAGAAGAAACCAAAAAAGCAAAAGAAGCAATCTTTAAGAAGACAACGAAAATCTTGAGATTTTAAAGATTACCATGACAAGTCCTTCCCAGGCGACGAGGGGTAAATGATCGGAGAACAATTGCACCGGTTTCTGCGTCGTTTCAGAATTATCCAAACAAGTAAACAGAGCAGATGACGAAGATCAGAGACCTGTGAAGAAGCAAAGAACACAGACGACGAAAAAAAGGGATTAGGAATTTGTCTCTCTAGAAGCTGAATCGGAATTCTCTCTCTAGAAAACCCCTGACACAGCTATTGAATGGGGCAAGCTCTTCTCTGCGGCGTCTATGGCATCTTCTTTATAGTTTTCGCTCTCCTATTGTTCCTCTCTCTCCCTAATCGCCGCTGATCTCAAGGCAAGAGTGACCGTATATCTTTATGACCGTTTGCTGTCTCTGTAATTTTGAATTATATTGATAAAAATTTTAAAACTCTTTATAATTCAATCACATATTGTTTTCTAATGTGTCGGATATTAAAATTTATAAATTTCTGATATATTAATACAAATTTTATACAAAAAAAAAATTAAGACTTTAAGGGATATCATAACCATTTTATATTTTTTAATATTAATTTCATATTTTGAATTGTTACTCTCTCTCAAATCATCACCATTGAAACACAAGTCCACAACGAAGATTGACCGTTGATCTCCTTCTGAAACGCAAACCCACAACGAAAAGTGACCATTATATATATACGTATATCCATATATATTATTTATGATGTTTCACTCCCTGTTTTTAGCTCTTTGTAATTTTGAATTATATTGATAAAAAATGAATAAAAAATTAAATTTTAAGTTATTATTATGAACACTATCATAAATTTAAATTCTGAATTTTGAATTATATTGATAAAAAATTAGAGAAAAATTCAATTTTATATTAATATTACGAACGCTATAATAAATTAAAAAACTCTTTATAATTAATTCACATATTGTTTCCTAATCTATCGAATATTAACATTTATAAATTTTGAATACGTGAACACAGATTTTATATAAAAAATAAGATCATTTTTGTATTTTTTAATATTAATTTCATAATTTGGTAATTGTAATAAATATAAAAAATTATTCATATACTAGATTTATACTAGGATATCTTACTGAGAAATAATGAGAATCCAATTCTATGGATAGTTTTAGTTTATGGAACCGATTTGTGATGTAATCATGTAACCAAATCTTCACACTTGGTCTCAACTCAACCATCTACATAATACAAATGAATAGTCTCATCTAAAGAGGGTTGCCATCAATGGAGAAACCGGCCAGTTCTTGCTCACAACACCAGAAAAGTTCCCTTGCGTTGTAGCTGCAACTCCAGAAAGCAATATACACGCGTATACATATATGCATATACATCGTTTCCGGTTGCAGTGGAAAGGCAAGTGAAGCTAAGTCTCTTCTAGATTCTGCATGTCAGATTGTCACCTTCCTGTAAGAACAAGACCAACATGAAGCACCATCCAGATAGATACTGTATTGTAAGAAAAGCCGATATTTGCCATTGATCTAGTTCTGTTGGTTCTATTCGGATTCTTTGGTCAGGACCCAGGTTTTCTTTTTGATGTCAAGTTCCAAAATTCAAGAGAAAGGAGTTTACCTTTATCGTTTTCGATTGATTTCTCTTCATTTGCCTCGGGAACATATTTTTCAAGGTACTGCACGATCGTTTTCCAGTAAATGTCACCACCAGACAGCCATGTGTCCATGTGCATCCCAGTAGGAAACTCCACGAAGCTGCGCTGAGCGGTGCGTGCGGCAGCTTTGGCATACAGCATTTTCATGTGAAATGGTGGAACCATCTCATCTTGAAGGCCAGAGAGGAAGAGTATTGGCTGTTTCACCTGTTATCAGTAGGAGTTCATGTTTTCGTGAGATCGTTTAAAGCTGAAAAAACAGAGAAACCCGTAAACAAGGAAGTCATGCTCTTCTTATATCGGTTTACTAATTGATCGAGAAATCTGATTAGGTTCACAGAACAGCAAACAATATATGATCCCCAGAAAATTTAAACATTCAGTTAAAAGAAACGGGGAAACGTGCGGCAGTTTCAAAGATTTTAAGATGAGAGTTTAGTTTTCTGTCTGATCAAAAGTACCATCTTTGCACCTGTCCAATTTAGTGATTTATATGACAGAGAGGAACGGGAGGCCAAACAAAAGAAGATGATGCGAGACAATAAAATCTGCTTTTTTACCTCACCGATGACATCAATCGTACTCCAAGGAGACCGAACAACAAAATTAAGAAGTTTCAGGCTTTTCGAACCACTTCCTCCAATAAACCACTTCAAGAAGGGCAACAATACACCAGCCATATCAAGAATAGATGTGAAAGTATTTTCCAGAATCAGCGCAGCAACCTATAAAAGGAGCCAGTGGAGATGATGAGCAAACAACTCGAAGAGCATAACCAAAAATAGACAGCAGAAATATTCCCTGAAAAAGAAAAGGATCGGCTAAAATCTATAGAGAGACTCCAACAAGCAACTGACTAAGCGGACAGTCTTACAAGAATCAAGGATTCAGTTAAAAGCATATTACTCAAGGCATCTAGAAAATTATAATTTTGTCAGGCCGATTTGGAGAAAAGACCATTAGTCACATTTACCAGCATAGATTGCAATCCCAATGTTGCTAAATATACCCATGAGCTAACTCTCCCTACTCATAGTGCTACTTTCATGGCTAAATATTATTACCTTGTCCGGATTGTTTTTGGTAAGCACTGTCCCAACAGCTCCCCCAAGTGATCTCCCAAACACAACTATCCTAGATGTATCAATGTCAGTCCTTTGACACAGGTGATCCAGTGCAGCCTAACGAAAGTAAATGAGATGGAAGAGCCAAGGAGGATTATGAAACAATTCCAAGAGCTTAGTACTATTTGGATAAATGTACAGAGACTAGGAAACCTGAGCATCCTTTGTGATTCCATGTTGTGAAGGATAGCCATCACTTGCCCCGTAACTGATTACAAGGCAAGCAAATCAAACAGAATTTTAGGCGGTCAAACAAGAAGCAGCATCACGTAAACAGATTCAAAGTCTAAACAGATTCAGCTAACTGAGACTGACCCTCGATATGAAAGCATGAACACATTGCATCTCAAGTTTTGTATCATAATCCGGACCATTTCTAGACGGTGAGCGATATCTATGGTTCTGCAGTTAAGGCGGCCATCTCAGAAGCAAAGAATCCATCCAAAACACAAAATGGGCAGATACAACACAGAAACTCCTACTTGTGTAATTCCCAAGACCCATATTGATCACAATAATGAAAAAAAGGATACTTCCGGCATTCTCCTGGAAGAACAGAACAGTTGGACCTGCATAGCAAACATCAGCTAAGCTAGTCACCACCAGACAAGAGATCACAAAATAAGGTGTTGCATGATAAGATAGATTTGATCTCCGCGACAAGCTGCACCCTTTTCCACTAGAATTGAAGATGACTACAGAATTCCATAAATACTAAAAGCAATAACTCAAAGTTCCAGCTAAAGAAAAAGAAACCCGAACCTAAGAACGAAAAAGGGTTATCTCAACGCATCGAAATTCAGCAGATTAGAGAGCACCCAAACACGCAAAACCAAATCTAGCCAGGAAAGAGAAAGCTGAATCGAAGCAGAAGTCAAATTAAGCCCTATGAAATGAAACGGACCTCGGCAATCGGGGAAGAACTTGATGAACCAGGCGTGGAGGCGAACGCCATCGGAGGATAGAAGCCAGACATCCTCGTAGATGAGTCGGAGCCTAGCGGGAGTGATAGGGTAGGACTTGGTGAGACCCGGAAGCACCGGAACGTAGACGAGCCTCTCCTGAAACGCCACGAGCAGCGCCACTCCCGCTACAACTATGCCTCCGGCTCCGTACAACAACGCGCTCACGTACGACACCATTCTCTCCCTCTCTCTTTCCC